CACTTTGATAAAGTAAAAGAAGTAGTAACCTACTAATCTTACTTTCCTTCTTTCCTTGTTCTTAATTTGCCAAAACTTAAGCTAAAAGTGCCATAAAAATTATTTAGTTGTTAATATCAGAGCTGATCGTTTTACTGTTCTATATAAGTAATCTGAGTTGATGTGAATTGAAATTCGGACGCGGGTTTTATCTCATTTAAGTCTGACACTTGTTATAGGAATGACCACAATCAAGTGTAACTTATGATCTGTTCAATTTGTGTAAATAAATGATTGCATAGTCTTTTATGAATCAACTTGAACTCGTCTGAACGTTCACTTATTGCGTCACTTTTCACTTCGCACAGTCAAGATATTAACAAGTAATGAGAAATACCCTGGTAAAAGTTTCCTCATAACCTTGTGTATGAGAGATGTGGGAAAAGCTTAATTCACTTTAAGCTCACTCTTACACATGTTATTTGACTTCTCCAGTGCTTTCAACACTATCCAGCCTGCTCTGCTGAGAGGGAAGCTGGAGGGAGCGGGAGTGGACAGGCAGCTGACAGCATGGACCATCGACTACCTCACCAATAGGCCATAGTATGTGAGGCTCCATGACTGTGTGTCTGATGTGGTAGTCTGCAGCACGGGGGGCACCACAGGGCACGGTTCTCTCACCCTTCCGTTTCAGACTGTACACTTCAGACTTCAGGTACAACTCGGACCACTGCCACCTTCAGAAGTTCGGATGATACGACCATCAATGGATGCGTATCTGACGGGAATGATGAAGAATACAGGGGGGTCATCAGTGACTTTGTTGGCTGGTGTGAGACCAACATTCTCCAAATCAATGTCAGCAAGACAAAGGAGATGGTCATAGACCTCAGGAGGAAGTCACCCCCCACAGCAGCGGTGAACATCCAGGGAAAAGACATTGAGACAGTGGACTCTTACAAGTACCTGAGTGTTCACCTCAACAACAAGCTGGACTGGACTACAAACACAGACATCCTGTATAAGAAGGGCCAGAGTCGACTCCACCTACTGAGGAGGCTGAGGTCCATCGGTGTCTGCAGGACTCTGTTAAAGACACTATACGACACGATGGTAGCATCTGCCGTTTTCTATGGAGTGGTCTGCTGGGGGCTGGATGTACTGAAAGGGACAGGAACAGGATGGACAAACTGGTATGGAGGTGAAGGTCTGTGCTTGTGCTGTAATGTCCTCTGGTGCCTGTGGTTCTGGCCCAGATTATAATCAGTATTTAAAATGTGGTAAATAAATTATTGTCAGGAGGAAGTTTTTTGATAGTTGCGTTTTCTAACTGTTATCCTTTATCTACAAGAGTTAAAGTTCTTCTAGAGTTCTAATAATTCTTAGAAAGGGCATGATTTGAGGTTTTTACTGATAATATTTTATTAAAAACATGTTACAGAAGTCATAAGAAGCAGGTTTATTTTGAAAAAACATTACAAACGTGTTCATTCCTACAAAACTGTCAAATATATTAACAAACAACACTAAACTGATTCAGATTAACATCAAATAAATCATGTTTTATAATTAAATGTCTGTTTCCTGCTATAAAGAAAAATCCTCCTCCTGTCCACCATGTTCCTAATCAGGGTCAGGGTGGGGCTGGAACCTGTCCTCGCTGCCTTTGGGTGAAGGCAGGGGACACCTGGACAGGTCTCCAGTTCACCAGAGACACCTGGACAGGTCTCCAGTTCACCAGAGACACCTGGACAGGTCTCCAGTTCACCAGAGACACCTGGACAGGTGTTAAGACTGGGTAAATGAGTTTCACTAAATTGCCACACACCAGAGCAGTTTTAAAGTTTTATTTAAAAACAGGCAGCTGGTTCTGGATCCTAGCGTCACAGGGATCAGGAGCTCTAAACAACAGAGAACCAGGTTAGTGACTTGGATGGACAGAGAACTTGACAAAGTGTGAAACAAAGTCACTAACAGTTAGTGACTTTGTTCACACTAGTCAAGTTCCCTGTCCATTGATTAATTGTTTTGAGACTCTAGATTGCCTCATATTTTAAACTGATTGTCCATCCATCCATTCGTCCATTTTCTGTACACGCTTCTTCCTTTTCAGGCTTATGGGGGTCACTGGTGCCCATAACCAGCAGTCACAGTGCGAGGGGCGGGGTACACCCTGGACAGGTCACAAGTCCATCACAGGGCCTCACATAGAGACAAACGAGACAAACAACCATTCACTCTCTCACTCACTCAGTTATCAATTAACCTAACAGTCATGTCATGTTTGTGGGAGGAAGCCGGAGTACCCGGAGAGAACCCACACATGCACGGAGAGAACATGCAAACTCTACCCAGAAAGGTCCCCGGACCGGGATTTGAACCGGTGACCTTCTTGCTGAGAGGCATCATCTCTACCAACTGAGCCACTGTGCCGCCTTATCCAGTATTTTAAACTGATTGTGTTTGGAATAATTTCTGCTGCATGTAAGATGTTGACTACTAATAGCTCTGTAGAATGCCACTTTATAACTGGATCACAACTGATATTCATTCTGTTTTAATTACTGTTTCAATATTAACAACTTTAGATCATAAAGTTTTCATTTGTTTATTTATTTAGTGATTATTTTGCACTCATTTTATTTTAGAAACTTGTCATTTTGTGAATCAATTTTGTTTTTTTTCAGTCACATAATGTCTTAAGAAACTGCGCTGTTTTGTCTTAGGAAATCAGTTTTTTAATTTTATATTTTGTATTATCTTGTTTATAAATTTATAAAGATCACAGGGAAAAGAAAATGAGTTTAAATTATTTAGTCTCTGCTGCCCCCTGCTGGACATCACTCCTAAATACACTTTAGTTTTTTGAGCGACAGTTTTAAAAGTTTTATGGTTTTATTTATGGTCATTTAATCTTAAAGAAGGGTTTCATTTAAAGTTACACACACTTACAGCAGCCGGACCTTTAGTTTCAGTTAGATCCAGTTCTGCTTCTGCTGGATGTGAGGAAGCCCGCTGCGTCCTCTCCCTCCCCGGCTCCTCCTGACGTTGTTCCCAGCCGCTTCCTCCCCTCTTTTCCCGGCTCCTCCTCCGTGTCTGCCTCGTCCCAAACAAAAACTTTTCAGGACTTCCTGTAATCTCCCAGCTCTGCCCGCCAGGACGGTGGGAACCGACAGGAGCGACAAGCAGACATGAAACCCGAACTATGGTTCTGATGGCTGAACCGGCGGACGCTCCTCTGACCCCGTTATCTGGCCCGGAACCACCACTTCCCTGCAAGGACTCCCGGGGGAAGAGCTCGACGTGAGTCGAGACCGGAGCTGAGGGGGGTGTGGGGGGGTGGGGTGGAGGCCGCTTTTTTTGCATTTCAGCTGAAGTGGGAAAAAAAATATCCTGACATGATTTATGGGTTTTATTTGCATCCACATCCTGCGTCCATCAGTTTATTTGAATTAAAGGGCTGCGGCTGCATTTGCATTTAGAAATTCTAGATGACCGTGAACGTCTCGTGAGACGTTGAAGGACCATTATCACCCGCCGCTGCAAGGCGAGCGAGTCCGTGTCTGTCTGTAACAGTGTTGTAAAGTAACTAAGTACAAGTTCTTTACTGTACTTAAGTACAATTTTTGGGTATTTGTACTTTACTTGAGTAATTATTTTTCAGCCTACTTTTTTACTTCTACTTCTTACATTTTCACACAGTTATCTTAAGACAATTTTAAAAAGACGAAGTAGAAAGTCGTTAATTTCAGTTTTGCTTGTTTTTATTCCAGCTGGTTATTGTAAAAAATAAAAACTATCCATATAAACTGAGCCTCCTAGATAGAGTGAATTTAACTGTGGTTGAATGAGAAGTATAAATATATAAAACTCTGATAGTGTATTAGTTTGAACACAAACAAATCATGTCACACTCCAGCAGGACAGAATCATTAAAATAAAAGGACTGTACTTAAGAAGTATTTGTATTTCATGAATTATATTATTACATTTGGCTGCAGCCCTCAGATAGATTTTTATTTTTGAGAAAAGCTTTGTGCAGCCTTGATATATGTATATAAACTGAAACAGTAGTGCATCCTAAATTTAACATTATTTTTATATGATATAGTCATTTCAGCATTTTTTCCTAATAAATGTCCTTACAGAAAATCTAACTGCTCATTTTAAATCAATACTTTTACTTTTAATACTGAAGTACAAAAAATATCAGATACTTTAAGACTTTTACTCAAGTAATATTCCTAAAGGAGACTTAAACTTTTACTAAAGTAATTTTTTGGTAAGTATCACTTTGTGGTACCTTATACAACACCGTCTGTTAGCAAAATATATCCTAAACCATTGCACAGAGTTTATTGAAGTTTGAGAAAAAGAATCATCTATGACCGACCGACCGAACGAACAACCGACCGACCGAACGAACGAACGAACTAACAACCGACCGACCGAACGAACGACCGACCGACCGAACGAACGAACGAACGAACAACCGACCGACCGAACGAACGAACAACCGACCGACTGACCGAACGAACGAACGAACAACCGACCGACCGAACGAACGAACGACCGACCCAACGAACGAACGGACCGACCGACCGAACAACCGACCGAACGAACGAACGAACTAACAACCGACCGACCGAACGAACGACCGACCGAACGAACAACCGACCGACCGACCGAACGAACGAACGAACGACCGACCGAACGAACGAACTAACAACCGACCGACCGACCGAACGAACGACCGACCGAACGAACGAACGACCGACCGAACGGACCGACCGACCGACCGAACGAACGAACGACCGACCGAACGAACGAACGACCGACCAAACGAACGAACAAACGGACCGACCGACAGAACAACCGACCGACCGACCGACCGAACGAACGAACTAACGACCGACCGAACGAACGAACGAACGAACGAACGGTAACTGAGTGTATCTCAGGCATTTACAAACTCTACTTAAATAGTCTTGGTGTCAAAATAAAGCTAACATTTGGGAGATTTCATCAGAAGTGTAATAAAACAGCTGCTGTAGTTTTAGAGATGTTAAGGATGGAACATAATTATTTTTTTCACACTCACCTGAATAATTTCTTCATTATACAGTTTATAACCTATTTAAAACCATAATGAATCAGGCTAAAAACTCTTGGAAACCATAAATCCACTTGTGGACATCACCTGTGCAAAGATTCATGCTGCTGAATTGAACTGGAGCAAAGTTACAGAGGTTTTAATAAAGAAATAATTTAATGTTTTGTCTTTCTGCACAGGACAGACCATGA